ATGATACTAGGGTCATTCTCCTGGGTCTTTAAAACTGTGTTTTGTGCTTTTGGACTTTCAAGTTTTGTAGTTCTGCTTATTGTTAAATAAATAGTCTCAGTCGTTGTGTCCTAAGGCAAGACACTTCACCCGTTGCCAACTGCTGGTGGTCAGAGGGCCCGGTGGTGCCAGTGTCTGGCAGCCTCGCCTCTGTCAGTGCACCCCAGGGCAGCTGTGGCTACAATGTAGCTTGCCATCACCAGTGTGTGAATTTGTGTGTGAATGGGTGACTGACTAAATGTAGTGTAAAGCGCTTTGGGGTCCTTAGGGACTAGAAAAGTGCTATACAAATACAGGCCATTTACCAAATATTAATATCACGCAAAATAATAAATAATCTTAGTTTACTTATTCTTTAGGTTTTTAACTTCATATTTCAGAGAAGTGTTTTCTCTCTTCCTCTTATGTGTAGTGTATGCGTTCTGGTGATATTTGTGTGTTATTATTCGTTATTCCTCCTCTGCCTCATTGTGTTGATTGTCTACTAGTGCTTGTTTGCTCCGGCTGTGTCCACTTCCCTTGTGTATCTTGTATGTCAGTATACTGATCAGATCAATGATGGATCAGAGAAACCTGATCTTCCTAACTACTCATGGAAAATACATCTTATTGTGTTTTTTGGTTAAAATAAAAATATCTGCAGCAGCCAAGCTTCAATTTTCTTAAAGTTAATAATAATAAAAATAATAATGATAGTAAACATAAATCCAATAGAGAAGCATCTTTTATCAGTAAACTTTTTAAAAATCCCTTTAAGTTGCTTTATATTAAATTTTACTAGTGCAAAACTTGTGCATTCACTGTCAGGAACACACAAAAGGCAGGCCTGTATTATTTATTACATAGTGTGCGCTATGTGGCAATTTGTCATCAGACAGACTGATTAATGCATTCAGTGGGTTTGTGTTGTGTGAATGTTGTGTGGTCTAAGTGCTGCATCTGTGTGGGCTTCAGTTCCACAGAAGTCCAATAGGAAAGCTCTATCTGATCTTTAAGTGATGACATGATCAATCCTGCTTCCGGGCCCAAACTACTCTGCGTTGTGTTTTTAACATGTTTTAATGCTTTGTATCTTGTTCTATTTAATCTCAACAACCCCCTAAAAACAGTCAGTGGTCACTGTCGGCCTCTCTTTTTTATTACCGCTAATCATTTTAAATCTCAGTCTTTTAACCCTTACAATGCAACTACAGCCCAGCCCATGCAGCAGTATATTAATGACTAACCTCGTATTGTGGATGGATTATCTCAGTTTTTCTCCTGACTGACGTTTGGTCTGTTTCCAGCATCCTGCTATGCAATTACATTTGTCCCTAACCCCTAACCCTCACATTAACTTTTATGGAGTGGAAAAAAATTCATCCTCCAGCTTCAGTGTGTTTATATTATGCTAACATAGCCGTGTCGCAGGCGATCACCTAGCACACCATTATTTACCAGCTAGTCCAACTTCAGTAACCCTACAAACATCACTGCAGTTTACTTTTCTGTCTTCATGTTGGAAGTGATAGCAGATCTGTACGTTTTATTTTGTTTCAGAAATCTCTCAGTCAGAACATGGTATATTATATTTAGATGGAAACTAGCGCGCTAACTCCCTGCTAACTTCTAACTCTGTTAAATTTAATAAAATCTGTTTTCACGAATGCCTGGATGTTAAACTCAATTGATACACCTGGTAAAGCAGCCACACTGATCATTTAATTAAAGATGAAAGAATTTAGACAGTTTTTACCACTGAGAGGAAAATAGGACAGAAAAACTGAGCTTCAATCAGCACAACCAGACAGACCAGCTACAACTGCATTCACACAGTGGCTGTATAGTGTCATGGTGCTTTTCAAATACATAATGTGCAAAAAAAAGACAAAATGTAAAAGTCTGAGTGATATTTCCATGGTACTGTATATTATAAGCTTAAAATTTGACATTGTATCCTTAAGGAAAGGTCGTACTAACCAGCGGAGTCTACAGTTACCACATTAATAATACAACTGATGAAAGTAGTTCTGACTGGTGTAAACAAGAAACGGAAACCAAGTAAATATTTCAAGAACCTTTTTATGATTCTTCAAAAGGAAGAGACAGCTAAAGCTACATCCTGAAGGTCATGGCAACGACAGGCAAATTTAGAGAAAATCAGTGAACAAATAATTAAAATATTTCACTGTATTTCTATCATTAAGCAGGAATCATTTCACATTACTGTAATTTAACACATGGCAGACAGGACAAGAAAGGCAAACAGTGCTTGCCTTGTCAAATCGAAAAATACACATAAATTAAAATGTACCAAAGTAAAACAATTTTTCTCCTTTCATCTTGAACAATGTTGCTCTAAAGTTCCCCACCTGTCTGAATCCATCCTTTACATTACTGCCATCCTGTAGTAGCTGTTGGCAGTTGTTCTTGAAAGCTGTGTTGTTTGTTTCAATCTTCCAAAAGACTGCAGCTCTCTGTTTTGCTGCTGTGGTGAAAGAGGGCCCAGGATTGCAGACATAGAGGCAGCACAGAGGAGTTTCAGCCAAAGGAGAGCCTTTGAATGAAAAGGAAGCTAAATACAAACTGTCTAACTAACAGGATCACAATTTGAACATAACGTACAAGTATAAGGGAAGACAGACACAATACATACACAGGAAGGTGGTTAGGAGAAGTAGACACAGGGAACATGGGAACACAGCCAGAGAAACATAGACATGACAAGATGGGGGAAGCAAAGCAGAACACGAGGCACATGAGATGACGACTACCAAAGTAAACAGGAACACACAAACGCTGAGACACGGACACAGAGATGTGAAGAGACAGAGAGAGCGAGAGACATGACTGGGGAAACAGATAGTCTTGTCTCCATGCTTATTAACCTGATTTTACAG